TTTCCCTAATGGCTTTATTTTTTGTAAGAGACTGACTCTGAGTACCTATACACTCAAACTAATCTTGTTTCATTAACATAAGAAAGACAACTCATTCCCCAGTGGAATCACCACTGTAGGCAAACAGGCTAGGAGTCATAGCACTTTTTTTTTGGGGGGGGGGGGTATAATTAAAACCTTAACAAGGGTGTATTAGTGCATAGCCATGCACCTGAATTCTGCTTATCAGCTATGAGACATGGGGTCCCCTGTGGCAACATTTATTTGCTTTAAAAAGACACATTCCTTAGAAATGAGAATGGTGAGGCTTTGGACATGTCATTAGGAAGGCGCATTCCCTGGAGAAGGACATCATGCATAACAACAACTGGGAGGCTGTCTCAGGACCAAGCAGTGTTTTCTTCTGTTGTGCCTGCTTAGGGTCGCTATGAGTCAGAACTGACTCAACAGCACCTAACAACAACCACAACCACTTACGATGATCCCCTGTGCCTCAGTTTCCTTGTTTTAAAAAGGCTTGTTAAAGAGCATGAGGCAGGTGAAGCCCTTGACGCTGGCTGTTAATACAATGTCACTGGCTTGTTTTTCTGGGTCTGACAAGTGTTCCTCCTTTGAAACTTGAAAATAGGGTGCAGTCTTAGCACATTTTTATCAAGCCATTTCCTGTTACTGTTGTTGTCCTTAGATACCATTGAGTCAATTCCGAGACTCAACAGAATGACTGTCCTTCCTCAGAACGAGTCCTACATTTCAGCCCATTGTTGCAGCCGCTGGGTCTGTGCATCTCATTGAGGGTCTCTTTACCACTGGCCCTCTCTGCTTTACCACGCATTCTATCTTTCTAATAGAAAATTGTTTGCATTTCCCTTCTCTGCCCAGTTTCTACCTTCCCCTGTTCCCACCTTACACCAGCTTTGGAAGGTTTCACTATCCAACAGAGGGTTGCTGACATGATTGTTTCTCAGAGCATTCTCCAGGCACACCTCAGCCCTCATACTGACATCTTTGCTCTTGAACACTTTAAAGAGGTCTTGTGCAGCAGATTTGCCTAACACAATACTTCCTTTCTTTGGATCTGGCCAAATCCTCCAACCTAGCTTGAGGGATTTATACTCATAGTGGGAGTGACAGGGGACCTGGGGGATCTTGGGTTCCATGTGTTTCTCTCTCATCAGATGTCCCAGGTGGGTGCAGACTCCCTCCTCCTCCTCCTGTCTGGTCCCATCTTTGGGGACACCTTGTCCTATCGCCTCTTCTGTCCAGGCGCCTGGCAAAATTGCTGCCTTTGATGAATTCAAATGCCAGGCCGGGAGCCTTGGATTCCGCCTGGTGTCTTGGGCACGCTTCATAAGGCAGCTCTCCTAGGTTATCTCAGAAAGGTTTCTGAGCATCATGTGCTGGGAGTCCTAGAGGAAAGAATGTTCCCTGTTTGGTGCTGCAAGCTGCTTCTTTATTTCTTAACAACTGCAGTAATGTCCTGACGTCCTTCAATGGTAGGGACACCCTCCCTGAGTTATCAATGAGCTCATGTTGAATTCCCCAGACATCTTTGCAAAAGAATCAGCAGAATGATTGTTCTGTGTTGATGAGGAAATGGGAATTGGTGGAAAGCTGAGTTGCATGTCTTAGGTAACGCTGTTGAGGAGCCCAGGTGGACATTACAACCTACCAGGGGCCCTGCTTCCTCTAAAGTAATTAGTGATAGCAGTAGTAACAACTACAACACAGAAGAGCAGGGATGTGTTTGTAAAAGTTCCTAAACAACAGGGCTTCAAAACGTATGTGGACAAAATGGAATGAAAAGATAAGGGGATTTTTGAAGCCCCTCCTGTTATGGGTAAGAAGCCCAAAGGAATCCTGGTAGCGTAGTGCATTAAGCATTCCACTGCTAACCACCATTCAAACTGCTAACCATGGTTCAAACTCATCAGCAGCACTGCAGGAGAAAGATAAGTGTGTCACCTCCAGTAAAGATTTTCAGTCCCAGAAATCCTATATTGCTATGAGTTGGAATCGACTGGATGCCCATGGATTTTTGTGTAAGCATAAATAGTCATTTTTTTAACAAAGATATGCTTGTATACACTGTGTCTGGGATCCTCTTGTGGCACTGTAGGGTAAGCACTGGACCATGAGGTTGCTTTGAACTGCAGGGTCCGTGGTTCAAACTCACCAGCCACTCTTTGGAAACCCTATACAGGGTCACAATGAATCAGAACCAACTCAAGGGCACTTGACAACCACAACAATATACTGTATGTATATTATATATCCAACAGGGCTTCAAAAGTTCATGGAAAAATGGAATTGAGTGATATTAGAATTTTTCTCTAAACTTTTTGAAGCCCCGTTGTGTGTGTGTGTGTGTGTGTGTGTGTGTGTGTGTGTGTGTATACTGGTTTGAGAATTTTATAATAGTTTAAGTGAAGTCAGCGGATCAAACACGTGCAATAAATGTAGTTTGTACTTTTGTGGGAACATTTTTGATTCAATATGTTTGTTGGTTGCCTTTATATTGATGTCTAAAGAATGGCATTTAAAAAACATATATTGCAACTCCGTTGCCTAGGGCACTTTGCGCTCCTTTGAAAAACTAAAGAGGCAAGCTATCCCCAGAACTCCTTCCTTGGGGAATAAACTTCCATGTTATTGAGAGAAGGGCAGTTTACCAGGATTCACTTTTCGTTTAATATTAAAGCTATAACTTCAAACCCCCAAATGCAATATGTCAAGAAAAGCCAGCAATTAGCGTCACCAGTAAGGGATGAGAAATACAAGACAATGAAAGGCCACAGGTAAACCAAAGTGCACATCCCCCAAAATAATCTGAACACCCCCACCCCATCTCCATCCTGGGATCTACGGACTGTGAGTTCTGTGAGGTATATCTTCTTGTGCATAGATACAAGGGGGCTTCAAAAAGTTGGCAGAGAGTTGGAATGAAAGGATAATGTGATTTTTCCATGAACTTTTTGGAGCTCTCTTGTGTGTGTCCATGCCATAAATACATATGTTGCAAAACATTTGCCAATTCAGCTGTCTTCACATGTTCAATTAAGAGACATCAATTATTCTCACTGTGATGCCCAATCCTTCCTGCATTTCATCTTAACAGAACTTCCAGAGGTTTAAGCCGGATTCAGAAGAGGCTGTGGAA